GAGTAAAAGACGGCCATCTCTGGTGGTCTTGATGAAAGCAAGCTGGACACTTTTGCCCAAATCAGCATGTTGGTTCATCTGCTCGTGCAGCTTCACGAACTTGGGCATGACTTGGCGTCGATCCTCTGAGCTCATCAACCATTTGGCCAGAGCTCCGGCCACCGTGGCGGGCAGGCCCTAGAGGATGCTGCTGACCCCGAGGCGGAAACTAGAGAAAACATGTTTCGGTCCAACATCCCGAAAACAGACACAACTGAATTTCCTCGATTGGCAAAAATTCAAATTGAAAACAACATGGAAACTAGAGGGGTTTGATTTTATTTCACGCGACGCATTTAGTTGTTGCGTTTTTGTGGTTTTGGTATCCACGTGTTTCCAAACGCCATTGCACCAGTTTGTTGGAACTATGACTTTAAAAAACCGTATGATATTTTTTTGCATGACGTTATTTTTCCCAAAAAGACTTATTCGTGGTGCAATTTGCCATGTTTGCATGACAGCGCATTCAAACACTGGATTGTGTTGTGTGGTGTGTTTTCCAATTTTTTAACAGTGACATGGAACATTTGTTTGAAATCCACTGTGTTCAAGCCGCATGTCTTGATCACCTTCGTTCAAATTTGGAACAGACAAAAATAACACAACAAGTAACAAGATTATGCGGTTTCGATCGGGTTCGTATTGTTTCGTAGAATGTTGTAACTGCCCCACAATTTCCCGAACGGCAGTGCAATGGTTGAATGAAACCATTATTGTTTTATTTCCCGAAGTGCAACCGATGTAGTTGGATTTGGAAATCCAGCACATGTCATTCGGCAACGGTGCGATTGAGCCATGGGTGTAAAGAAACACCACAGAGCGCTTTTGTGTTTTGGAGCGGCCGTTTGGCGGAAAATTATGTAGATGTTTTTTTATCACAGATCGATGTTATTGTTGAACCCGAGGCCATTTTCAGTGTGAACGACCTATGGGTGTTTATCAATGCATCTCAGTACGGAGGTTCTGGGAGATTTCGCGAATCTTGGATTTAACTGAGCATTGGTGGAAATATTGTCCCACCGTCCAGTGCTGATTGTTTTTTTCAGTCATTTTTCCCTACGTTTCTTATGCAATGTGAAACCTAGGCCATCAGCTGCAAAGTTGATCAACCTGGCGTTGTCCGATCCTTGCGGGATATGCCAAAAACAACGAATACCCTGTATATAAAAATATATACATGCATATATAAATGAATTTTCTGGCGTTGCTGGTTGGGGAACCCTTTTTTGGGTCATGTTACTGTTGATGCAATCATTTTTCAGTTGAAATCCCATTCATTGTTTTCTACACTTTCATATCGGATGGTATGGCAAAAACAGTAACCTATGAACAGTAACAGTAACATTGTCGACTCAAAATGATAAACTTACAATGGCGCGGCAACTTAGGTGGACACGGTGTGGGCCACGAGTGCTAGACCAAACCCTCCAAGCAAGGATGAGAGACTTGATTGCAGTGGTTCCGACATTTTCAAATGCCCATCAAACCAACCCAAATCGCAGACATGCTAAACACATGCAGTGTTTCGTTTGATTATTAGGTTTGGATTTACTGTTTCGAAGTTCTGCTAAACAAATGTGTCTTTTGTGTTGCAGGGCTGAATGGGAGAAAGAGAAGAAGTCTCGGCGGCAAAGGCTCCGCTCTCAACAGGCCGGTGTTTCTGATATTGTCAAAACATAGGTCCAACTGCCGCGATTTGTTCACTTTGCCATTGGATAGGAAACCAGCCCTGATCTCTTTGCATCGAAGAGTTCAGGAAAGGGTTTCTTGACAGAATCTTGACAGATTGATATGGAAGTCAGTATCTTGCAATGTGGACAGAAACCTTGCTCCAACTTTGAGTGGTGGACGGATAGGACGGATATGACACGTGCCTCCAAGGTTTAGCGAAGGACATCAAAGACCGCATCCAAGAAACTGGAAGGGCAATGGTTCGAGCAGTGGGACCAGCATCTACACACCAAGCATTGAAGGCACTTTAGTAACTTTAGTAGCCTTAGCACGTTTCACATGGCCTGGGACCCTGGGATTAAAATTCTTTCTGCAATTCTGACATTTGGCAGGCCATCGCAGCTGCAAATGCGACACTTGGATTTCATGAGGTTTGTATTTTTTTTCCACCCGTGATGCGTTGTTGCCCTGTTGAACGAGGATGCTTCAAGGAACCGATTTGTATGGTGACCAGGCTGGATAAAGGGTTGCGTAAAACACGTTTCGTCATCGGCTGGTCTGCTTTCAGGTGGTGGCCACAGTTCCCTCCTTCAAGCAGATTCGCTTGGAGAAGGCCGAAAATTCGATGAGCTGAGTTAGCTATGCTTGGTCTGCTTGCTGGTTTGGGATATGATATATCTCAAGTGCCAGGAGGAGGCAACCACCGTGACCTTCCTGAACTGCATGCTGTTACCACGGTCTCGGAACACGGCATCTGTGGAAGCAACCCAGGTCCTTGCAACAGGCACATGGGAATAATGCCGAAAATAGAGCTTTGGACACCCCCACAGCAGCAAAATGTGCTTTGTGTTCATCACAAAAACCACCCGGAAAGTATAGTTTTGTGTGTTAACCTAGAAAAGTTCCCGTGGCTGGCAAAAAACATGCCATGTTACTGCAACCGGTGTCAATTGCATTAACATTGAGCAAAAACACGGTTTTTGTGCGAACTGTGTGCATACTCCCTGTGTTTTTGGCACCAGCCGCCCCAGGAACATTAAGATGGAACCGGGCACCAGCCAACACAGAAATATCAATAAGAAGGAGCAAAAACTGTTTTTTGTGTGAATTGTGTGTATCCTCCTTATCCTTCCGACCATTCCTGGCAAAATAAACACGTTTTTGATTGAATTCTGTCATCTGTATCCTCCACACCTTTCTTGCTTGGCACCAGCCCGGGCTGGGAAGGGTGTTTGCCAGGAAACCCATCAACTGTGTTATTAACATGGACCATAGGGAAACAGAAATAAACAAAACCTCCAGAGAGAGCATCGTGCCATCCCCCAAGAATGACTAACAAAAATGACAACACCTTTTGAAGTAAATTAACATGTACCGATTTTGGGAACAGCCATACAATGTTGGGGTCATTTTCGCAGGTGACAATGGCCCCCAAAACCATAATTTTGCCAGTTCTGTGCCCCTGCTGGCTTTTATGTTACAGTAAATGTTGGAAACACGCATTTCGTTAGCCAATGTGATTCTCAGGAGGAGTAATTTGTTGAAAGCAAACAATTTCTAAAGTCTGGAATCATGTGAACATCCCTGTGGAACCTTTTGAAGTGATGCTTCAAGAAGCCAGTTTTACCTGACAACCTTGGGAGCCCAAGTTGCAGGCTCAAGAGCAAAGATCTCAAAGATGTCTGCTGCCATCAAGAACAGGATCAGGCCTTGCCATCCGATCATGCTGAAAAGAGTATGGGTCAAATTATTGACCCCCCAAATCCACAAGACATATATATATATAGATAGATATAGATATAGATATAGATAGCTAGATAGCTAGATAGCTAGATAGCTAGATAGATAGATAGATAGATAGATAGATAATGCACAATTTGAGACCCTGGCTACTCCATTTTTGACCCATGGCCTAATTGGATATGAGCTTCAAAAACCCTGGCACTGCGTGTTTGCTTGCCTCGTCAGGGAGAGCTCTTTGGCGGTAGTTCTTGCTGTTGGTTCTCAGCAAGTTTCGTTTTCGGTCAAGGCGCTGGCTTTTGGGGCAATCTGCGGGTCAGACTGAACCAAACCAGTCTGGAAGTACAACAAATACTGAGGCACCCCAAACAAATATCACCCAATAATCATCCATATCATCCAATAATTATCAATCATCCAGTCTCTTCATACCAGCATCACCGTGATACTAGTATGGAGAGACTGGATGATTGATGATATTTGATGATTATTGGATGATTATGGATGATTATTGGGTGATTATTGGGTGATTATTGGATGATTATTGGGTGATTATTGGATGATTATTGGATCAATGATAAATCCAAGAATCGCCAGGCCGTGGTGCAAGCTGGCCGTTTCCTGCGAGAAGATCAGGGGGCAGTTGGTGATGCCGTGAAGGCCGGCGGATCGTCGTTGCGAAGTTCACTGCTTGGGATGATGCAGATGATGCTATAACTGGTTGGTGGTTTCACCTTCTACATATATATCATATATCATATATCATATATCATATGTCATATATCATATATCATATCATATATCATATATCATATATCATATATCATATATCATATATCATATATCATATATCATATATCATATATCATATATCATATACTATACTATACTATTCTATACTATACTATATACTATATACTATATTCTATATACTATATACTATATACTATGTACTATGTACTATGTACTATGTACTATGTACTATATACTATATACTATATACTATTCACTATATACTATATACTATATACTATATACTATATACTATATACTGTATACTATATACTATATACTCTATACTCTATACTATACTATACTATATTATACTATACTATACTATACTATACTATAATAATATATATATTATATTATATTATATTACATTACATTATATTATATATATTATATAATATAATACATTATATATATATATGTATTATATACTTTATATATTATAATATATATATATGTATACATATTCTATATCATATGTAATGTAATTAAGTTAAATTATCAATCTATATTGATATTTGGAATGATGATCCCTAGTGACGACATTTATTGGATGGGTTAAAAGCAGGAGTCAGATGTCTGTGGAAGCCAAAGTTGCTGGGTGAGCCAGTCTAAAGTAGATTTCTGCAGTGTAATTGAGTACTCCAGCCACGATGTTGTCTCTTAGTGATTCGAGAAAATTCTGCATGCCGTTCTCTGGACCTTACCTGTCATTGCAGATGTTGGAGGTCGGTTCAACTTCTGGTGCGTCGTGGCCGTTTAAATGATTTGTTCTTTTTTTTCAACAGTTTTTTCTCAATTCAGGGTGGTCTCAAGATTTTGGGTTCCGGTGGAGCTGTGTGTGGTTGATCTTTCCGTGAACGCTCCTGAGATGGGTCTGGCAATGCTTATAGAGCAAAGTTGCAGAAAGGTTCAGGAAATGACTTCATCGTTTGCTTTTGTTGCCCTTTGCAGAGGAGGTCGAAGTTTGCTTTTTGTTGCTCTCCTAAGGCTCTTTGGAGCATTTTAACCCCACAGCATCACTACTTAGTGGTGGAAATTGTTGTAACGAATATAGGTGCCATTGCGAATGATTGCCAATGGTCAATCACAAAGTGAACATCTTGAATTTTCGCAGCGGTTGGGTGTTGCGGCCTTCGTTCAGGTGCCGTCCATCGCACTTATTCCACGGCTTCATGAGTTTGCGCCAAAGACCGGGAGCTCAGGCTTTTCTGTGTCAGGGGCCTGTTGTGTGTAGAAATGCAGGCACTTTTCCAAAGCACCGTGGCTCAGGACGACAAGACCTAGGAAAGAGATGAAGAAAGGTGAAGATGATGCTGTGACCATTGGTATGAGGCAAAGGGTGTGTGGTTTGCGCTTAAAGCTGGAAAAGATGTTTCTATTTTAAACTTCCAGTAGCAACAGCGATGGTTTCTGCAGATGTGCTGTCTTGTGGGAGGCTGGAATGTGTTGACACTTCTGAGAGATTTAAGGAAGATCGTAAAAGTAGTTCGTCTTCGAAAGAAGCACTGCCCCCATGGGAGCAGGATGTCGCGTGAAAAGCTGCCTGAGTCAGTCGTTTGTGTAGGGTGCACTGCACTTGGGAGAGGCGACGTACAGTGTTGCAATGGTCCCTGTCCACAGTCAGTGGCTCAAGTTCCCTTGTGATTGTGGTGGCAGCGCGTGGAGTGCTTCAGCATCTTGGCTTTGAAGTTCAGATTCCATTGCAACATCAGTCACAGTAAGGGACCTCGCGAATTACGGCCCAGTCTGAGTCACGGGATCATTCCAAAATAGCAGCGAGCAAGGGTGTAGAACCGCTGAAGCTGAAACGCTGGCTGAAGAGTTGAGGTCCGGACACACAAGTTTCCGGCAGAGCACCTTCGTTTGCCCCAAAGATTACTAGCAACTCAGATCCGATTTGGCTTCGGTGCGAGAGCGGGTGAGGTGAAACCACATTCCAGAGCTTGAGACTTTCACTTTAGTACTTGTGTCCCATTTGCTCCTGGTTGTGACATGAGGTCAATCATGGCCTTACAGGCCCCAGTAGTTATCCTTTCAATTGCATTAACTGCATCGCCCTCAGTGCAGCTTTCTAAACGTTGCGAGACTTGTCAGCACTTCATACTGTAAACATCTTGGCACCGGCTTAAGATGCTAAACGAGAGCTGTGCCTTTGTTCACACTTGGGTGTGTTTCCACATTCTCGACTGAGCGAGGTGATCGCTCATGCTGCGAATATTCAGAGCATTTACCCAAACAGAGGATCGACTGAAGGTGCGAATGGCTGCACCAGCCCTTTTTGCAGCACCATGCAGCACCAGCCATGCAGCTCTTGCTGTCCAGGCGGAACCTTTCTGGTCATCTCCGGGTCAGGCTTTATGATGCCTGTCGAGGCGAGATTTTTTCATTACATCACCTTTTCGGATTTCTCAGCATCGCCTCACCTTGAGCCTCACCTTGAGGCGAATCCTTGGGACTCGCAGGTGGTGTTTGCTGGATCCTATGCTTTCTGAAAGGTAGAAAAATCTAATCCTAAAAAGAGGATGTAAAAAATGAAACCTGCTGTTACCTGTGCAACTCAGGTTGGCACAAAGATTTGCAACATTCACGCCCACTACACATCTTCAAATCGAATTGCTTGGAACTGAGCTGGAAAGGAAAGTCTAAAAAGATTCAGACATGTCTGTATGTCCACTAGATTGGCGAAGCTTAGATCTTCGGCCACTTCTGCACCTCAGACATTTTCCATGATTTTCCAAGCGATTCTGATTGGAAGCTTCCACAAGGTTTGCGAGACAACTCCTCATGATATTCCAGCTGAGAGTTCTGAGCTTTTGCCTCAGTGATCCTGACTAAACACAGCAGATTGCAGCCCTGAGAGGCACATCGTGGGGTGCCAGGGCTTGTCCAAAAAAGGATACCCCAAGACATCCATGGCTTTGAAGGCTTTGAACATCATTTTAATCATTTTCCATAAAGTGCCATAAAATGGGAGCACAACAAATCCCTTGGATCCCTTGGACGAAGCCACCATGTCATTCCAGTTGCGCTGAGAAAAAACATCCTAGGTCACTGACTGTCAGCGTGCAAACCTTTGGCGGTCTTGGCTTGGTCGTGTCCTAAGTCTCAATTGAGACCACGAGTGAAAACCTCAACATTTTTTCTAAGTGGGAAAGGCTCAAAATGATTCAAAATGAGTCTCTCTCTCTCTCTCTATATGTATATATACATATAATGTACATATTATATATATATAATCCTTTTGTAGCTATCTATATCCATTTACACCTCCAAAAATGGAGGGTAAATGCTAAAATATGCTAAACATGACAAGTCTTCTTGCTGAGTACAAAATTTTTGGCCATGCAGCCGCTTCCTTGTGGTCCTGGTTAACGTGAGGCTGGATTTGCGTCAACGAGCAGCGCTTTCCAGTACAACTGGTATGCCTGGAGCAAAGGGATGAGACATTTACCAACGACGTTGGATTCGGAGTCCTGAAGACAAAAGTTGATTCAAAAGTGCTGAGAATTGCTGAGGATACACCTCTGTTCTTCTGGTCAGATGGATGGGCTGGTGGGCTCCACAGGTAATGTCAATATGCAACATGTTTACATTATGGGTGTGTCTGAAAATAGTGTACCCCATTGTACCCAATGGTTTTGCTGATCATTATCCCATATTATCCCGTTTTTAAATGGCTATTTCATTGGGAATATTAACCCAACATTTTCAGACAAACCCACATGTTTCAGCTGTTCGGAGTTCGTTGCAGTTTGTTTAACTCTGAGGCACCGGAGGCGACGTTGTCGCTTTCCAGGGGGATGTCTATCCTGGAGCGAGTGTGGCCGGACAGTACGGTGGCTTAGATCTGGTCTCATTTGGATCACTTGGGGTCTGAAAATGTTGGGTTAATATTCCCAATGAAATAGCAATTTTTCATAGGGATAATATGGGATAATGATCAGCAAAACCATTGGGTACAATAGGATACACAACAGTTTCAGACACACCCACTTTAGATCTAGCAACTGAGGTAATATTAGGGTCTATACGCAGGCATTCCGGGAGGATCAACAGGAATCACCTTTGTGCCAGGTTTGACATCCGGATAGGCGGCGCTCGCTGCGTAGTAGATCAAGAGGTGGGGCTGTGGAATTCGTTTGAAAATTGCTCACGGTGATTTTCGAATCTACACGGAATGTGTTTTTCCTTTTCGGACAATCTTAAGCAAATACATTGAGAAGTCTTGGTCTTTGCGGACTTGATGTTCTGACAATCTTGTCCAGAACTATCCATTGTCCTCAAGAAGAAGAAGCCACACCCTCAGGATGAATGCTTGCTCGGCTGATAAATGTGTAAAACAATTAATCTGCACTTGTATGCTCGAAAGTTGCGGCGTCAGCCCGTGAACGCGATTACCTGCGTTTGTGCAGGTTCCCTGAAACGAGTCCAATGTAAACTTCCAGATGACGATTTGCTCTCACCTGGCCACTACAACGAATCTTGGCATTGACCAAAGTGAGAGGATCTGTGGATGATCCAAAACCGGAGATGCGGTTTATTTTAAGCTTTTTGATGTTTTTGAGCTTTTTGCAAGGTAACCATCCGAGTTGGTAGCCTGGGAGCTTAGCACCAAGATTCCATCGTTCTCGTTACAGCTGGATCTCTCAGGCCTGGACCGTGAAGATGGGAGCTGTCCCAACGCTTTGTGCTTTCCTTACACCCAAGAGCAGGTGTGGACCTCGGAAAACTCGGAAAGCTGGGAAAGCTCTGCTGTCTCCCTGAGTGTCTCCCTTAGTGTCTCCCTTAGTTTACCAGTTGACCTGAAATTGGGAACTTTGATTCGGGGCAGGCTGGCACATCATACGGCTATGGGATGGCAGCAATTGTGCGTATCTTAGTCTTTAAATCTTTTATAAGACGCCTCTCTGTGCTACGATATTTTCACTTCAAGGTTCCAACCGTGACTAGCGATAGCATCGGAAAAATGAAGAGGCGGGGCCAACTTTGGCACAGTTGAGTCATGCAACAGCTGTCATCTCTTTCTTTGAACCATGGGCTGTTGTGGGTTTGTCTATGGGGGATACCCACGAATGGCCTCAAGATGAAAGAAAATCATGAATGATCAGCCAGGGGGTGGCATGGTTCTTAATTTTGAGACGAGCCTTGTAAGACTTTCTGCTACTTTTTGCAGGGTGTGGGGCGGCTCCATGGACGTTGCGACGCATGGCTGCAAGACAGCTGGTCACAAACGTGACAGACTCCTGCCATCTCCTGCCACCGTTGGGTTTTAAGGACGGGGCAGACGTACCACTACACCATTTACCCACAGGTTAGAGCCTCAGTTACCCCAAGATACCCCAAGTAACAGCTCGACCCTGTGATGACTTGGGAAGAGTTTCCAATGAAAAGTGGCTATTTTCAGAAGCTTCATTTACCGAAGGGGTATCCTTCATAGCCGAAGCCGAATGCTTGAATCCAATGAAATCCCATGAGATCCATTTAGACATCAAAACATCCAAAAAAATTGGGAGTTGGTCGAGTTGGTTGGTTAGTTCAGAATTGCCCTTGAGCCGTGCTCAGGTCAATGCAATCTCACCTCTGGAAGGAAGCTGGTTTGGCGACATCGGCGAGTTTTGTGATGAAAAACACCTGAACTCCGCAAAATGAATGGCTTCAGACGCTTTATAGGTTACTGTAATAGAATGGTTAAATATAGGTAAACATAGAATATAATCTATAGGATATATTCTACATAGTCAAATATAGTTCAATATAGTTTGATTGATATGGTTTATATAATTATATGGTATAGTTCAAGTAATATAGCCCGATCTAGTTTGATATGATTTATATTTTATATAGTGTAGTTCATGTAATATAGCTTGATGTAGTTTGATCTAATTCATATAGTATAGTTCATGTAGTTTAGCTTGATATAGTCTGATGTAGTTTCACACCCAAGCCAAATAAAAAAATGTGGCTTTATTGGCACCTCAATTTTGACCTATACCTAGCCAGCAGGCATTGGGTTGGTGGCAAGTGGTCTCTTGCAGATCAATAAATAAAGCAAGGTGGCAACAACCTGACGCTCACCGGAAGCTCATTTGCTGCCAGCTACCAAGACCTGCCAGATTTTTTTTTTTTCTGAACAAGTGTGGCTGAATTTTGCAAACACTTATTCTCAACCATCCAATTCTGGTTTATGTTTGAATATTTTGTGTTTTTTCCCTCTATGGGATGAAAATGATCCGCAGATGGGATTAGGCCGACTTGGACTCCATTGAAGTCACCGTGGGCGGTGAACCATGCACTGCAGGGCTCCAAGGAGCTTCAACTTGTGGGACACTGCAAGATTTTTCCCATTTTGTCCCTGTCATTGCGATTGATTTCGCATGATATTATTATCTAATATATATATATATAAATATTAATTTTTATGTATACATATATCCATCCATCCATCCGTCCATACATACATACATACATACGTACGTACGTACATACATACACACATACATACATATATATATATATATATATGTACATATTTGAGAATCTTTGAACTTGCAAGGTCCTCGAAGCCACGTATTCGCAGATTGTGCTGGGGCACTCAGAGACGTACTGCAGATTTTTAGCTGCTGATCACTGAGTTTCTTTTTTCCTGCTCCTTTCCCCAGATTCGATGGACGAGCACCTCAGGTGTCGTTTGGGCAGCTGGCAAAATGCTGGACGGGGCAGTGGAATGCGCGGGTGGGAAGCTTAGAGTCCTTGCCGTGCTGCGAGAAGCAAGTGATCCTGCAAAAGTGGCAGTGATGAGAATGTAGTTGGGACATGTCACTTGCTGCTTTGCTTGCATTGTGATTTCGGACTTGATTCCACAGGGCGTTGTTCGCAACTTTCTTCCTAGGCTGATGAATGCTGTCTATGGCGCGGATGGTTACAGCCGACGTAGACGGGTGCGCCTCATCGTAGCCAAAATCTGATGGTGAGACTGCTTTGCAAGCATGAATGTCATGGTTTTCATGCCAAGCAAACGATGACTAGATTCACTGGAGTCACTGAGAGCACCATCATCTTAGAGGTGGTATAGTGATATTATGTGATATTCATCTTGGGTTTGCAGTAGCTACTGTATGATTTGTCCTTACCTGGATACGGGACTGTCAATGCGGAAGCTGTGGACAGATGTCATGGTCCATCGATTCAGTGCCCTCTGTGCAGGCTGGGTTAGCACTTCATTTTGGAATATTCAGAATTGATCAAATCTGGCTTGTGCGAATTTGAATCTCCAAGGGTTTGCGAAAGTCTCTGAGGTTTTAACATGTTTTTAACATGTTTGTTCATGCAGTGCAATTGGGGATACCGTTTGAATCTCCATTTTCAGATACCGTGCCACTTGCTTAGTTCATCCCGATGCCACCAGGATCGCTACTTGATATCTTCGAGCCTCTACAAGGTGACGTCTTTTGTGCACAACGCGAGGGGTGCCACCTTTTGGAATTCTCTGAGCCCCACGTGATAGTTTGATTGAGTTTTTTAAACAAAGAATCTGGGCGTGTCCAAGATAGGGTATACAGTATACCACCAACATTGCCACATATGAACAGTGAACATGATGATTAACCAGTGGGTATTTTGGGGTACCCTATTTTTAGACAAGCCCAGAAGCGAAAGCCACCGGCACGCAGGGAAGCTTGGATTCTCTCAATTCGGATGATCCCTATGATTACGACACTCTGGCAGGCTCCTCAGGACCCACGAGATGGTGGGAAATTGGACATGGGGGATTTTTGCCTCCCATTTCTGGCAAGTTTAAACAGGACGATTTTGGATGAACCATTGGAGTTTGGGCTATTTTCTTATTGGACATAGTGACATAGCCGGGCTTCTTGTGAATTTGCGGTCCTTTTATCAGCCATGAATCATGAAATGCCATGAGACAGTCCATGCTGAGTCCGATCACCAGATGCGTGAGCTCACTGGATTCTTGGTGGAGATCCTAGACACCTGAAGCTTGTGTCACTACAGATTCACAGTGCCAGAGGATGATGAAACGCAATGATTGGTAGTACTCATTGCCAAAAAAAAAGATACTGTGCTGGCTACAGAAACTGCAACTTGTGGTTTCTCAAGGTTCCACCACTAACTGCCAGCTATTCCTTCTATATTTGTGGCTGCATTCTCAGAAGCGCTGATTTGAATTGTGGCTGTCACTCAACTCTGGGGATTTACAGTAGACGTGGTGAGCAGTTATGGGTCAAATTTCAGACCCG